ATTAGTTAATGGGTAACGGACATATTTTCGCGAAGGAGCGTTTAATTGTACCCTTCTTCGTACGTACCGTGGCTACCCTGGAGACTCCGTCCTTCCCTGGATGTAAAATTTCTATCCTCCCCAATGCCCATTTGCAGGGAGGTAAATTGCCTTCTTTTATCATCACCAAATCGTCAATTTGCAGTTTGGCTTGATTATCACGCCACTTGGTGCGCAGCTGGAGTTCAGAAATGTATTCAACGGACCATCTGGTCCAGAAATGCTGCTGAAGCTTCTGGATGTGTTGGAAATGTGACAGCCTATTGTCGGGAATCTCACTGAAATCAGGATCTGCTACAGCAGTCATCGGTCGTCCAATTAAGAAGTGGGAAGGAGTCAAGGGGTGTATAATCTGATGGATCATTTGACATTGGAGACAGAGGACGCGAGTTTAACACTGCCTCGATTTGAACCAACAAGGTGTAAAATTTTTCAAATTTTAATGATGCATTACTTGCAACACGTTTAAGGTGAGATTTAGTGGCCTTAACGCCAGCTTCCCACAGCCCGCCAAAATGTGGTGAATGGGGCGGAATAAAAACCCAGGAGATACCTTCACTCTCTATAGATTCGGTCAAGTTTTTGGCGTTATGTCGCAAAAAGGCACCCAGCTGTTTCAATTCCTGATTTGCACCTAAAAAATTACTTCCATTGTCTGAGTATATTTGAGCAGGCCTTCCGCGACGCGACACAAATCGTTTTAGTGCTGCCAAAAAAGCTTCCGTAGTGAGCTCTGAAACCAACTCAAGATGGATCGCGCGAGTTGTGAAACAAACAAACAAGCAAATATATGCCTTAGTTATTTTATGACCGCGTCCTTGTCTATCTCGTACTAGGAATGGCCCGGCATAGTCAACACCAGTCGTGGAAAAGGCCGGCGCAGAATTCACACGCTTGCTTGGTAAATTTCCCATGATGGGATTGATCGGCTTAGGATTTGCCCTGAAACAATCAACGCAATTTCGAAAAACCTTACGAGCTAAGTTACGTCCGCCTAACGGCCAAAATTTATTGCGTATCTTTGCCAGAAGCAGTTGAGGGTCGGCATGAAGTAATAGTTTGTGTTCACGTTCAAAGACTAGTTTGGTAAGATGGTGATTGTACGGCAAAACAATAGGATGCCTTTTATTGAAATCAAAATTTGAATAGGCTAGCCTGCCTCCTACTCTAATTATGCCGTTTTTATCTAGGAAAGGGTTGAGGTTGGCCAGCTTACTTGATTTTTTTACAAAATTATGTTTGCTTAAGGCATCAATTTCAATCTCGAAACAACTAGCTTGGGTCAACTTGATGAGATATAAAAGAGCATTGTTGGTTTCTGAAAACGTTAAAGGACCTTGACGAGGATCCTGAGGGAGCAAATTTATAGCCTTCAAACAATACTCCTTAAATCTAAACCAATGAGCAATGACGCGCTCTAGTCTACTTAAATTTGAATAATCGCCTATTCTGATGATGGGTTCGACAGATGTTGTAACCTGAGCCTGAATAGTTGGTTTTCGCAATTCTGGTAATTCATCTTTATCCAAAGCGTTGTTTTCGGACGATCGAGGTTGAGGCCAAAAGGTTTCGTCTAACTTCAGCCACTGAGGGCCGAACCAATATATATCTAAACCTGGCAAATTACTTGGTTTCACGCCGCGTGATACATGATCTGCGGGGTTGTCAAGAGTGGGAACGTGCCTCCATTCACTCAGATCTGTAAGTTCTTGTATGGCCGCAACTCTATTGCCTACGAAAACTTGAAGCGCACTTGGAGAAATATTCAACCATCCTAAAACAATGGTAGAATCGCACCAATAGACTGCCCGACTAATATGGATATTTAACGAAATTCTGACCTTGTCCAGCAGTCGTGCAAGAAGCAAGGAAGCTGTGAGTTCTAGCCGAGGAATGGTTTGGATCTTTAGTGGCGAAACCTTTGATTTGGCACAGATAAGTCGAACCATGGTTTCTCCGTAGTTATTTTTTGACTTCGCGTACACGCAGGCGCCATATGCGTGTACCGACGCATCAGAAAACCCGTGTAACTCGACTTGATTCGCGTCCCTACAAATGACTTGTCTATCGATATTAAGTTCATTTAAAACGGTGAGATCGTCGCGAAATTGCAACCATCTGGTGTGTAATGACTGCGGTAAAGAGCTATCCCATCCCAATTTTTCTATCCATATGTCACGTAAAATTATTTTAGCTAATATAATAGTAGCGCTGAGTAGACCCAGTGGATCGAAAACTTGTGCTATATCGGATAACACAGCTCGTTTTGTAACTCGTGTTGAACTGATAGCGATTTTGTAAGACAGCATATCACTTTGACCGCTCCAAAGCAAGCCCAAAGTCTTTGTGTTTTCATTCGCGCCTAAATCAACCAAATCGGTTTGGTCGGTTAAGCTGATATGCTGCAGAATCTCTGAATTATTAGACATCCATTTTCGTAAATGGAAACCTGATTTCTTAAGTATAGAGGAAACGTCATTTGCTATGGTAATAGCGTCTTTTATATTGTCAGCACCAGTTAGCATATCATCAACGTAAAAATCTTCTGAAATGACACGCGAAACGTCCGGAAAATCAATTTTTGCTTCTAAACTAATTTGATGGAGACATCGGATAGCTAAGTAAGAAGCTGATTTCGTACCGTATGTTACAGTTTGCAATTCCTAAATATCGATAGGCTTAGAGCTGTCTTCGCGCCATAAAATTCGCTGCAAATGCGTTTGCTCCGGATTTACCCTACACATCCTGTACATTTTTTCCACATCAGCGGTTATTACGAAATTATGCTTTCGAAAACGTAAAAGAACTGAGACAATATCAGACTGGTCCGGCCATTTGCAGATCGTTGAAGGAGAGACCACTGGAGGTGGAGCACGACGCGTCAAAAACTACGCGAAGTTTTGTCGTCAAGCTACTTTCCTTGATGACGCCATGGTGAGGCATATAATAGGCATGTTTTGAATGATTGTCAATCTCAACTTTCGACATATGTCCTAGAACTCGATATTCGTCGATAAAATTGAAATATTGATGCTTGAAATTAGCGTTGCGCTCAAATTTACGTTCTAGGGCAAAAAATCGTTTTTTCGCGGTCTCATAGGAATCGCCCAGTTTTTCGGGATCCTCCAGCATCGGAATAGTGACCACAAACCGTCCGTATGAATCTCGTGTGAATGTTTCTATGAAATGTTTCTCGCAAGCCTTTTCCTCTAGGGACATAGGCTTGACCCCGGAAAATTCCTCAATCTCCCAGAATCGACTAAGCTGCCTATCGATGTTGACGGCGCTACCAAAATTACAATGAACTACATGAGTTGAAGTTGACTGGATTGCCCCTGAAACGACCCAACCGAACTTAGTTTTTTGTAAATACGGACCGTTTGTAGCCAGCTTTATTTGCCCGACGCTGATAATATCCCAAAACAAATCGGCGCCTATCAGCATATCAATATCAGCCGGGGAGTCAAAATAAGGGTCCGCTAGCTTTATGTTTTGCGGAATTTTAAGACTGTGTGTATCGACCTGGAAATTCGGTAACTTCCCTGTTATCTGTGGTACTATTAAACATGAAATATTAGTGGAAAATTGATTTACTCTTGATTTGACTCGCACGACGCATTTGCCTTTGCATTCCGACTGCGTTTCGTTGATACCAATCACCCTAATATCTATAGATAACTTGCTTAAATTTAGTTTTGATGAAAAATGTTCGGTCAGAAAACTGGCCTGCGAGCCAGCATCCAATAAAGCCCGAGCTGTACGCGGTTTGTTTTTAGAATCAAAAACTGTAATTAGAACTGTTGACAAAAGAACTTGTTGGCCTATAATCTCGTTTCTAGAGGACAAGCTGACTCTTTCTTGTCGAAGCTCTCTATCATTAGGGGTATCAGAAGGGTTTTTGTCATCGAAATGCAAAAGAGTATGATGCTTTGAATTACACCTTTTGCAGGTACCAGAAAAACATTGTCGATACGAATGACCAGCCCTTAAACAATTTAAACACAGGCGTTTCCGTTTCAATTGTTCAATTCGTTCATTCAAGTTTAATTTCAAAAAATCCGCACAAGTTGAAATGTAATGCTCTTTCCCGCAAAAGGTGCATTTCGGTTTTGATGGGTTAGGGTTAGAGGAACCCCGCGCAGAACCATGGTGTTCAGCTAACAATGTCCTAACCCTTTTTTGTTTGTAAGGTTGTGAACTATTGCTCTGCGATTTACTGTGATCTAAAGACTCCAAAAGATCCGCTCTTTCTTTGAGAAATACATTTAAATTATGTAAAGTGGGTGTTTTATAAGAAGCCTTTAGTTGTTCCCATTTTCTGAGAGTGACGTCATCTAATTTTGTTGTAATCAAGTAAATTATTAGAGTATCCCACGCTTCTGTTGGCTCGTTTAAAGTCTTTAGAGCCCTGAGATGCTTGGCAACACTGTCGACCATTTTTCGCAAAGCACCTGATGATTCAGTAGAAATTTTATCGATAAGAAAAATGGCCTTAATATGATTTTGTATCAAAATTCTACTATTGTTGAAGCGATCACAAATTAAGGCCCACGCATTGTCATAATTGGAATCACAAATCTCCAAACTAGCGATAGTTTCAAGGACAGTCGGGCCTAAATATGAACGCAGGTAGTGAAACTTCTGAATTCCCGAAAGACTTGAGTTTGTATGAATTAAAGAATCGTACGTATCCCTAAACTCAAGCCATTGGCTAAATTCTCCATCAAAAATCTTAATTTCGATCACGGGAAGTTTGACACCGCTCGGGTTGTTAACTGGAAGAGAAATATTCGCATTTTGGCCTGTAACAGAAGCTGGTCTATTACTGGACACAACATGGCTACCACCGACGCCTACGCCACTGACATGGCTGCCAGCAGCGCTCTGCTGACTGCCGCCGACTTGAAATTGGCTACCACTGCTTCTGGCTGGTGAAGCTGATCCATTAGAAATCAGGAACCGTTTCGACCTACCAACAACGCCGAAAAAAACCTCCTCAAATAACTCTCGCTCAAGATATTGCGCCTCAGGGTCGTCGCTAAGCTGTTCAATTTGACCTTGCAGGTCTTCAAATTGGTCTATGACATTAGAAAATCGTTCGTAACGTTGTTCTACTTCCAAAAACTCGTTTTGATCTGTTACAGTATAATCAGGATAAAGTGTTTCTAATTTTTTTACATATTTTTCAAAAATTGACAGTTTTGCCTTGACAGAACCTCTTTTCCTGATAAGTTGCTCCATTTCGATATTGAATTGAATTGAATTAATAGTTAAATTTTTTCAACGTGGTGCAAGTAATTTATAATTCACGTTCACAAATGAGCAAACCAATCAAAAACCCTGTTAGTTCAATCAAGACGGCGCTAAACGCGCGCATAAGGAATGGAATCAAAGAAAAAATTGGAAAGGACCCACCTCTATTTCTGCAATTTATTTTCTTTTATACTGGCTGCTGTCACATGTCACTTTGTCTCACAATTTATCCGGTTCGAATGGTCCAAAATGTTCAAGTTTGTTTATAATAGTGGACTGTATCGTTTGCTAGGCCTGGTTCAGCCTCTTCTATCGTTAAAATAAAACAATTCCTTTCGAAAAACTGAATAAACTAAACTTTAATTCTAAAAATTACAAGAAATTGCTAAATTTGTAATGAGAACTCGAAAAGAAATGCGTAAAAAAACGGAGCGCCGCTCGCATGTATGTTCTGCAAAGGGTTCTCGAGTACTGGCTGTTGAGCTAGATCACCGCTGTTCCTGGGACACATTATTGCAGAAGGGCTCGTCGTTCCCCGGCACAGTACTACCTCTTAAAAGTTTTTCCTTTGTTAGATGCCCGGTTGTCAAGTTTTATAAAATTTCTGAACAGCCGTGGTGGCGATTTTTTAAAATGGCTGAAAAACAAGGGAAGTAAGATAAAGTTTGCTACTGAAGGTTTTGGTGAATGTTTATTGATTGTTTTGAATGAAAACATGCCAGATGGCTTTTAGGTTATATAGGGTGGGACACGAAAAACTTCCTACCTACGTTTTCTCAGGTCTCGTCTCAAGTTTTAGGTGATTAATCAAAAATCGCTCGGACACGTTATTTTTTGTTTTTTGCGGTACACATTTTATTGGTATTTTCAGCCTCTACCCGCAAAATTTCAAATGGAAAGGGAGTTCGAGTGATAAAATGTACCTACTACATATTTCTTAACTTTGACGAGCCGCCTTTTCGTCAGGGAATATTTACCCTGCCGCAACTTAAAACTTCGAGGATATATTCTTAATAAAAACTTTCCATCAAATGACGTATCACTCGACCCCCCTTTCTATTTGAAATTTTTAGGGATACCTGTCTCCCCCGCTTAGAGGCTGACAGGTAGGGGGATGAAAATACCAATAAAATGGTCGATTGATTTTTGATTATTCACCTTACATCTGAGAAAACCTGGGAGGGAAGTTTTTCGTGCTCCGCCCTGTATACACAAGGTGTCCCATGACGTTTTACCCAGGTGATAACTTCGGAACGCGTCATCCAATATAATTGAAATTTTGATGATCTGGGTAACTTTTTGTGCCGCTTCTACATGCGTCATGCATCCAATTTTACTTTCGCTTCAGTTTTGGTCAAGTGACGGCAACTTTATACTCTTAAATGTAACTGACGGTATTATATCATTTTTCGTTAGAAAATTCGATTACAAAATCAGCAATGGCATATTTTTTTTTTTTTTTTACTGATATGCGCACTCGCAAGTAAATGTCCTATCACGCTCGAGAAGCGGCAAGTGCGCGGAAATGTCGGTGTATGTTGGTCTTGAAACGGTTCAGGTTGTAACCTGCAGGGAAAACCGTCGCAGGGAGTTTATTCCACAGCGATGCTGTTCTCCAGAGATATAAATTCTGATATAATGAGGTTCTTGGTGCCTCTAGTTTGACAGTAAATTCATGGTTACCGTCTGTTTGACGGGTTCGCCTGGTAAGCGCTACTCTCGGTGGAATCATACGTGCCAACTCTTCAGAGCATTTTCCGTGATAGTACCTGTAGAAGAGAGATAAATCGCCCACAGATCTGCGATGTTCGAGACCATCCAAGTTACGAGTAAGTGCGGGGTCATTGATCAGCTTGATAGCTCGTTTTTGCACGGTGTTCAAAAGCATTAAGGTATGTTTGGGTGCTGCACTCCATATATGTGAGCAGTACTCCATAGTTGGTCGAATCTGGGCTTTGTAGAGTGTCAGCAATTGGCTTGGTGTGTACAGATGTCTTGTACGAAATAGCACCCCAAGCTTTTGGGACGCCCTTTTAGCAATATCTGCCACGTGACTGTGCCAAGACATGTTGGTCTCTGCAGTAACCCCCAAGATGTTCAACTGACTCTGTAATGTGACAGCACTTCCAGATAGCATCATGTTTGGCTCACCGGTGCTGGTCTTTTTTGAAAACAGAGCTGCTTGGGTTTTCTGCGCGTTGAACTGTACAAGGTTTTTGTTACCCCAGTCCTCTATTATCTCCAGGTCGTTATTTATCTGCGATATTTGAGTTAGTCTAAGATGATGGAATTCACGTGCGGAAAGACCTGTGGGTGGTATGAGTGAGGAGACTACATTGCCATCGTCTGCAAAGCAATAAAGTGGATTTACTGTTTTATCTATGAGGTCATTTATGTAAATCAGAAAAAGAGTTGGCGAAAGGATTGCTCCCTGTGGCACACCAGCATTTATTTGGTAAGAGTTGGAGTTCTGGCCATCCAGTGCAACATAAATGGATCTGTCCTTTAGGTAACTTTCAAGCCAAGTGCAAAGTTTCGGCGATAATCCCATTGCTTTGAGCTTTTTGAGCAGATTCTCATGCCAAACTTTGTCGAATGCTTTAGATATATCTAAGGCAATTGTTCTTGTTTCACCCCGCAACTCAATCGCTTTTTGCCATAAGTGAGTGACGTATGTAAGTAAATCGCCAGTTGACCTATATTTTCGAAATCCGTATTGCTTATCGTTGATAATTTTGTACTTTTCCAAGTACTTGGTTAGGTGATTGTTCACAACTCTTTCCATTACTTTTGATATCACCGGAAGTAGAGCAATTGGTCTATAGTTTAACGGATCTGTCTTTTTTCCTTTCTTTGGAATGGGTTGTACTGCGGCAGACTTCCATGATGATGGATATACTCCTTGCCTGTAAGACAAATTGAATAATTTTGCGAAAGTTGGGGTGAGTTCGTTGGCGCAATTTTTGAGTACTATTGCGGGAATGCCATCCGGACCCATTGCTTTGTTTGTATCTAGCTTTTTAAGGGATTTTCGTATTTCTCTGTGACAAAAGGGTACCTCTGGCATACTATGGGAAACCCTTTCAATGAACGGTGGAGTTTTTCCGTTTGGCACTGTTAGGTTGGAGTTGGAGGAAAACATTTGGGCCAGCATATTGGCGTTTTCCTCTGATGTTGTGGCTAAGTGATTATTTTTATCTGTAAGTGGTGGTATGGATGACTTGGTGAAGTTAGATCCAACAGCTTTTGCAAGAGACCAAAACGCCCTAGAACTACTGGGACAATTCAGCAACCTGTTTTTTATTCTTTGATTGTATGTTTCTTTAGCGGAGTCAATAGTAATTTTGCAACTATTTCTGGCTTCTATAAATTCTGTGTGGTTTTGAGCGGTTTGTTGTCGTTTCCAAAGGTTATATGCTCTGTGTTTTTTCTGTATAGCCGGTTGACACTGGCTGTTGAACCAAGGTTTTGCATTAGCTCTACGTTTAGTTGTATGCGGGATATATGCATCCATTCCAGATAAGATTACTTGTGTTATTTCATTACAGCAAATAGTGGGATCAGCTGTTTTAAAGCAAACCTCTTGCCATGGAAAATCCAGGTAAAACTGTTTTAGGTCATTCCATTTTGCCGATTTATAGTGCCACATTTTACGAGGAAGTGGTTGTTGGCTTGGTGGGATGAGCATTTCGCACTTTGTTATTATAAGTTTATGATCGGACGAACCAAGTGGAGCATCTACTTGAATTGTGTACGAGTCAGGATTTGTGGTTAGGAACAAGTCTAAAAGCGCTGCAAATTCGCCCCTTTCTGAGATACGGGTAGGTTCATCGACAAGCTGCGTTAGACCACAACTTATGGCAAAAGCTTCTGCTTCTCTGCCTTCGTTATCTGTTTTGTTGTGGTGTTTCAGCCAGGGTATATTGTGGACGTTGAAATCGCCTAAAAAGACAATTTCCGCCTGTGGATAGTTTGACTGTATACTATCACAGCTTTCGGATAATGTCGCGAAAAAGTTTTGGTACTCGGTGTTAGATGGCGGTCGGTAGAGGCAGCAGATAAACTTGGTCGATGACTTTGAGGTGAATTTTAGCCATATGAGGTGAATTTTAGCCATATGCTAAGGATTTGTTAAAGAAAATGATAAAAAATTACAAAGTGGAATATTCGATGACGCGTTCCTAAGTTATCACCTAGGTAAAACGTTTAAAGCGTCGTGGAACACCCTGTATATACAGGGTGGGGCACGAAAAACGTCCCACCCAAGTTTTCTCAGGTGTTAGGTGATCAATCAAAAACCGCTCGACCGTTTTATTTTGAACTGCTGACGAAAAAGAATGTGTACTCACAAGTCGGCTGCTGCAGGTCTATATGCCTTCACTGCCATGATGGAATAGACTTCAAATATGCTTGTGTTCTAGACGAGGATCTTTTCAATGATTGAGTTTTTATTTCGTTAATTTTTTTGTAATTTTAAGCTCAAAATTCGTTAAAAAAAAATGTTAAAATTGCTCCAAGGGACAAGAATATATTTGATTTTTGAAGATTTGAACGGACGGTCATGCTTTTTCAAGATGGCGTTTTTAGCTCACAATGGACTTTTTGGGATTTTTATATACCTATTTGTTCTTGGACATATAATACATCGATTCTCATTGAAAAAAAACTGTCCCCTTGAACTTCATTAAAAAAATTAAATTTGCCTGGTCTATACTTGATTTCTTTGTTTGGATCCAATTGAGCATTTATGACTGACCCGAGAAATTTGTATTTTTGCAGCCGCTTTATTTGTTTTCGAATCAATGTGAGAAATGGATTAGTGTTTGAGTTTTTGCTTATAACCATGAATTTAATTTTTTCGGTATTTATAGTGAGTCCTACTTCTTCACACTCTCGGTTGACTCTGTCTTATAGGGTTTGAAGATCTTCTGCACTCTCAGCCATTATAGCAGTATCATCGCCGAATCTTAGGTTGTTTATTAATGTTCCTCCCAATGTTTACTCCTTCGCGTCTTTCTTCCATAGCGCTTTCTGAAATACAAACTGAGAGTGGTATAGATTAAACAATTGTGGGGATAGAATTGAGCCTTTTGAATTCCGATTTCATCTGTCTTCATGTCCTCAACACGCACTACTGTCATTTGGTTGTAGTAGATATATATTTTATTAATTGTATATCGCTTGGATCCAAATTGATACTCTTTAAGTTTTCTATGAGTTTATCGTGTTGGACTTTATCAAAGGCCTTTTAGAAGTCGATGAAAGAGACGTATATACTTTTGTTGTATTCTGTACTTCTCTATAACAGTACTGCGATAGCAAATAATTCTTCCCTATTTCCTAATTCTGCTCTAAAGCCAAACTGCACCTCATCTAGTTGTTCTTCACATTTTCGATATATTCTCTATTGGGTTATTTTCAAACGTACTTTAAGTGTGTGACTCATCAAACTGATCATCTGATATTTATCACAGGACTTAGAATGGTTCTTTTTAGGTAAGGGAATTAAAACTGATTTGAGCTATTCTTTTGGAATCTCTCCTGTTTCATAGATACTGTTTTTCGAAATTTGTATGGCATAGGTACTCCACTTCTGATTTAACAATGCAAAGCTGTTCCATCTGTCCGTTTTCTTCT